TAGTGGAGGTGTGTTTCTAGGAGAGGACAAAATTAATGAGATGAGCCGCAACACACAGATGATGGGCGGCGCAATGCAGACGAGGAGGAATTACTAAGAAGATGAGGGGAAATAATAGGCATTGGAAGTAGGAGTGACGTGAAAACTGAATAATAGGAGGAGTTCGAGGATCATTGGCAATGGTGATGCGGGGCGGAGGTGGAAAGTTTGATGATGAGGGTGAACAAGAAGATTAATGCAGGAACATAATCATCAGCGTATGCAGGGAGCAGGGAGGAGAACATGAGGAGCATAATGATGACCAGTGGCAGGTGAAGGAGGAGGAACAGAAACAACATTGGGAACCAGGGGGCGATGGAGAAAGGGAGAGGAGAAGAGGGAGGAGAAGAGGGAGGATCACGATTGAGGGAGGGGGTAGGAGTGAGGTGGAAAACGAGGAGGCTGAGGGACCAACGCAGAACAAGCATGATAATGATACTTGAGGCTTGAGACCCCGCCAAGCCCCCGAGATCTTCCAGAACGATCCATCTCCTCGCAAACCATCGAACACATTCTGATTCCCTAGAGCAAAAACATCTATACCCTTCGATGAAGACCGACTGGCAATTCCCGCCCTTATCGTCGGGCATTGTTTGCAATCAAGAGGCCGTTGTGTCTGACGACTTCGACACACACACACACCTTTTCGTTTGTCAGGTACTTCGCGGCATGGGCACGGGTTTGTACTGCAGTGGGGGAGTCTCATATCTGGTACTTTACAATACGGCCGAGACTCCTTTTGCGCTTCGCCTTGGAATGTGCCGCGAAGACGGCATTCTTTACTACGGCCAACTTCGCGACGACACTTTGTTTTTCAGGCCTGCAATTTTTGTGGAGGCCGGGAGGTCGCAATGTGGCCTGCAACCTGGCGAAGCACTAGCAAGAACATGTTTATGACACTGGCCTTTTTCATGCGATGGGAGTGCGGACTAGAGGCAGGTAAGAATGCTCTAGTCCTGATCTTCAACACCAGGCTGTTCACTTGCAATGCCGGCTCTTTGTCATGCAGCGCGGAGGGCGCTAAGCGGTCGAGGGCACACCGAATCCTGTCGTAGCGAGTGGTGGGCTGCGCATGTGTCTGCACAGAACCATTCACATTTTCACAATCAGCTACTGTCCAACACGTCTTTACCATCTAACCCAATCGAGCATCATTGCAACCAACCGAACGCCACCAGACAATCATGAACGCATCGGAGCGCCGTCTCTTCCCCTGGAGGAGCACGAAGAAGAGTAGCAGCAGGTGGATTAGGACGACCGGCCTGCGTGCAGAGGGACCTGTCGAGCCGAGATGCTGTTGGGCCGTCCAAAGGGAGCCCGCACCAATGCAGCTCGAGCCCATGAACGCCTCGGCCAGAAACAAAGTGCAGTGAAGGTGGAGGGAGACCTCGTTCTCCTCGTTTGCCTTCCTTCCCCCCCCGCTCCCCTGTCGACTTCGGCCTCGGGGTCCTGGGCTCGGGCTCCAGGACTGTCAACAAAAAGGATGTGGCAAAAGACTGGCTCCAGGGAAGGGGTCGAGACCTTCGAAACCCTGACTATTTCAACTACGTGGGGCTCGTGAGGTCCTCCTCCTCATGTGGGCCTTCGGGGGCCCCTCGCTTCGCCACGGCTGGACCCGATCCGAAATCCTGGCCAGGACATGCTCCAGGAGCGGGTCGGGGGTCAGATGCGGAACGGGACGATGAGGAGCAGAAGTGGCAGCGGGAGGAAGGATGCGGGGGGGGGAGGAGGGAAGGGAAGCACGGGGAGGAGCAGAGGGGGAGGAGCAGTTCAGGTGAGGACGAGGAGGGAGGAGGTCGAGGAGGGGAAAGAGGACAAACGGGATGAGGATAGACGGGAGGCTCCGCTCACAGAGGCAGGGGAGACTGTCAACCAGGAGGCAGGACGAGGGAGGATGGTGGGGAGGAGGACGGAGGACGGAGCATCAGCATGATGAGGGAAAGACGGTGAGGGGAAGATGAACGAGGTGGAGGGAGGATGGAGGTGGCCGGAACAATGCTTAACGACCGCGCAGAAAGTCCAGAGGAAGAGGGTGGCGACGCGGAGGAGGAGGAGGAGGAGGAGGAGGAGGAGGAGGAGGAGGAGGAGGAGGAGGAGGAGGAGGAGGAGGAGGAGCGGGAGTCGCAGAAGGTGCCCTCGGCCCTGGAGGGCCCCAGTTTTCTCCAGGAAATCCACCACGTCCGGAGCACCCCTCGCGAGGCCCAGGGGGCCCTGTGGGGCCCCAACCCGCCGGGGTCTCTGACCCGACCGTAGAGCGTGACACTCCCAGTGGCTGCAAAAGTCGGCGGTGCGCCACTGGCGGGCCCTCCTCTTCCCGCTCGGATCTCCAACGATATGCTTCTTTGAATCCAGGCGGGCTTTCCTCGATCTCGGCCTTTGGGGCCCGGTGTTGGTTGTTGGGCCCCAGGACGACCAGACATTGATCCAGGTCGCAAACCTATCCGCTGGAAGGCGGTCGGGATCTCTAGGGCCGCGAATTGGACAAATCACGTCGGCGGATGTCAAGTTTCGACGTTCTCACCCTCTACGGGGCCCTTTTCGGGCTCCAGGGCCGTCAACAAACACCATCCAGGAGCAGACGCTGGTCCTGGGGGTGGAGAGGCCCAGGGCCACGCAATGGAACAACAGACGGCAACAGATGTCTGGGCCCTCCGTCTACCTCTTCCGCCCTCCCCCGCCTCCTCAGTACAGTGGCGGTCAAGGGGCCAATCTTGGGAGACCTCTCGTGGCTCTCCTGGAGCCTCCCAAAGGCCCGCGGCTCTGTCTGGCCTTCCCCTGGCGCCTCGGCGCCAGTGTGCGGGCGCAGCAGCATAGGCTGGATGCTCGATCTGAGGTCCTTCCAGGAGCCACTCCCTCCACTAATGCGTCGATGCTGCGTCGAACGTCCGTCGACTTGAGTCGAACTCGAATCGTACTTGAGTCGAACCAGAGTCGAAGTAGAGTCGGACTAGAGTAGAACTAGAGCCGAACATTTCTGTCAGGTGGGCCTCAGGGAAGTACCCTCAAACCATGAGAAGCCCGTGGGCCTCCAAGTGGTGCTGGCCCACTCCCGTGCAGCCAAGCACTTGCCGCGATGAGTCCCCGAGCGAGGCCCTGATTTTGGTAAGTCGACGCCAGAACAGGGGAAAAAAGGACAGGGATAAATGGGGGGTCCTTGAGGTGCGGAGGTTCTGGAAGATGCATCGGGCGCCGTGGCCTTCTCAGAGCGGGCCGGAACGCCCTGAGAGCGCTCCGGAATGCTCTGGAAGTAAAGTCAAAACGCATGATCAGGACGCGCAGCCAGGATGCCAGAGCCTTGGAAGGCCATGCTGGCGTTTCTTGAACGGGGCTGGCCAGCGAGAGTCGCCAAGGATGCGCCGACGGGGCAAGGACGCAAGGGTAACCTAGGACATTTGCTCCTCCTTACTGTGCGCTTTGACTGTGCTTCATCCCTGTCCCGGTCCCGCCCGATTTTCCCCAGCTGCGCACTCCCGCAGCGGTGGCTGGGGGGAGAGGCCCGAGGGAAGGGCGCAAGGAACCCCAAGGCCCCCTCCTGGCCCCCAGAGGTCCGCATATGGCGGGTGCGAAACCCTGCACCCCAACAGGCCTGCCACCTCTTCGGAGGCCGATGTTTGCTTCCGCCGCCTTCCGCCGAGCTGCCGCCGGCGGAGGCGGCCTCGTTCTACCTCTGCCGCCTTCCACCGTGGAAGGGACATCGACTCGTTCGATCCTCGAGGGCGAGGCCCTCCCCTGGAGTGCCTCCGCTCCTCGGTGAGGTGCCTCCTCCGTCCAGGCGCTCTCCCCCCCCGCGCTCGGTGTGGTCCCGCTCTCGGGCCTCGGGGCCTTCCGCACTGGATCCGGGCCGGAGGACTGCCCCCTGGGGAAGGGGTCGCGAGCTCCTGGGCCGCGCGCCGAGAACGCCTTTCTCCCCGATCTCGGCCTCTGGGTCCCATTTTCGGGCCTCGGGGCCTTCAACACGGGATCCGGGCCGGAGGACTGGCCCCCTGGGGAAGGGGTCGCGACCCTCCTGGGCCGCGCGCCGAGAACGCCTGCAAGGGGGAGTTGATGGAGGGGGGAGGGCTTCTTGGGAGGAGGCTGCTTCTTAGACGCCAGCCTCGCATCTATAGATAGATAAGGCCTGCGCCTTCTAAGAGGCAGGGGTGCTTCTAAGAAGCCCTCCCCCCCTACCCCCGCCCCCCTCTGCGCGTGGCTGATTTTCCCCGATTTCGGCCTCTGGGTTCCGCTCCCGGGCCCCCAGGGAAGGGGTCGGGATCTCCCGGGCCGCGCACTGAGGAAGCCGTGCTTCGTCGGCTGTCTGTGCCTCGAGAGGTCCCCACGAAGCACCTGGAGACCCCCGACTCCGAAAAGGCCATCAGAGCCCTCCTCCTCCCCTCCTCCTGCTCCTCCTCCTCCTCCTCCACCGTTTGGTTTTTGGGAGGGGTTTGGTTTTTTGAAGGGGAGGAGTGGTAGCGGACACCGCAGCACGACGACAACCTGGGCGACCCAGACGAGATCCCACGAAGCTACCTCACATGCCGCGCCCTCGAGAAGTACCGAAGCGTCAAGACACAAATCATGGCTGAATCCTTATCCTCTTCTGTGCAACCACGTCCTTCCCGCGAGAGGCCCGTGAGCGGGGCCCTTCTCTGCGGCCCCAGCTTCGCCCCTTCTTGCGGCGAGCGCCCGGCCCCCAGAGTTCTCCAGAGGTCCCCGCGACGCCTCTGGAAGTCCCCGAGTCCAAAAAGGCAGTCCTTCATGGAGGAAAGGTGCCGATACCGCTGCTCGTCATGGAAAATCCTCCTCCCCATTCCACTCGAGATCCTGGTCAGAACGCACCCCAGGAGATGTCTGGGGAGCAGCGGTATCGGTACTCTTTTGTTCCTCTCGAGCCCTGGTCATCCACGCCATCTTGTTGCTCTTCCAGCGTCTTTGGCTGCAACTGTGCTGGGCGCGCCCCTGTAGGAGGCCAGGAAGGCGGGGTCCGAAGCGCAGGGTGCACCGGAGGAGGTCGAGCCAGTCGTCCTGTGCGGGCTTTCAATCTCCCCGTCGTTTCCTTCGCCCCCCAGCTTCCCCCCAACTGCAATCTTCGTCCTTCCCTGAGATCCGTGCGGTGCAACTTTTTCGCGCTGGGCGCTTTCGCCCAATCTCGGGCTCCAGGACCATCACAGATCGACCCAGCTCGCAAAATGCAGCAGAAAGAAGGGGCCAGGGCTCCTGTCGCGATTTCTCGTGGTGTTTCGCACATTTCTTGTAATGTTGGATCTCAAGGTTCTCCCTCATCCCTCCTCTCTGCCCGTTGCAGGCTCGCTCGCACGCGCCATTGGCAACACAGAGCCAGCGGTGCCGCACCCCCTGGCTTCATCGGAGAGCTACTGACTGGTAATACAGGGTTCCCTGCGAATGGGCCGCACGCTCGCCTGTGGTGGAGGGGGGCAGGTGGGGGCTTGGGGTGAGGAGGGCAGCGTGCACGCCTCTGCGCACGCCTTGGCAGCTCCCTCGATAAGATGTCGAAGGGCTGTCGAGTACTTGCTGCATAACACTCACGCAGGGGAACCACGCATACGCTCTACACTGCACCTTAGCGGGCGCATTGACGTTGACCCCCTCATGCGGATGTCCTATCCTGTCCTGTCCTCCTCCTCCTCCTCCTCCTCCTCCCTCCTCCCCTCCTTCGTCTTCTCCTCCTGCTCCCCCCTCCTTCTTCTGTCGACGCCACCGAGGAATGACTCCGCATGCATCATAACAAAAAAAGCATGACAGACCTCTCCACTATGCTGCAATTGAGGAGGGTGGCAGACCGCAGGATAGATATCTCAAACTGCAAAGTAACTAGCTCTCAACGTCCCTGAGCCCTCCCCTTCCTTCTCCTTCCTTCTCCTTCCTGATTCCTCTTCCTCCTCTTCCGATCTCCTCCTCCTCCTGGGGATGCGTTTTGATTTCGGGCAAATCCAGCTCACAGCCTGCTTCCGGGGAATTGGAAGCTACGAGGCGATTTTCGTCGTTCAGACCCCCCACAGCCCGAAAGAGAGTGGATGACGAGGCGGCGGCGAGTCGGTGTCAGGCCGAGGTGATCTAATAACACACCTAGAGAGAGCGCGCAACAATCCCACAACACCAAGATACCCAACGTTCCAGCAATACTGTTCATTGTAGCATTCGCGTCTCTGTGTTGGCGCCGCTACAGCGTGTGATTCTAAGCTTTAAAGGAACCCAGCCATATATACTTTTATGTATACTAAGTGGTATGATATATGCATCTGTACATACAGGTATACGCGTCTGAAAGGGAATACACGAGCGCGAGAGAGACAGAGAGAGAGAGAGAGAGAGAGAGGGATAGCGATCGAGAGAGAGGGGTAGAACGAGAGAGAGAGAGTGGGAGAGAGTTAGACATAGAGGAAGAGAGAGGGAGAGAAACAACGAGAGAGCGAGACACATACAACTAAATCGAGATAGCATGCGTGAGAGAGTGAGTCTGGGAGGGAGGGAGGGAGGGAGAGAGAGAGAGAGAGAGAGAGTTAGCGATACATACATATATATGTATGTATGTATATATATATAGAAAGAGAGAGAGAGAGAGAGAGAGAGAGAGAGAGAGAGAGAGAGAGAGAGAGAAAGAGAGAGAACGAGAGAGAGAGAGAGAGATAGAGAGATAGAGAAAGAAAGTGGAGAGAGAGTGAATGAGAGAGAGAGGGAGAGAGGAGAGAGAGAGAGAGAGAGAGAGAGAGAAAAAGAGAGAGAGAGAGAGAGAGAGAAAGAGAACGAGAGAGAGAGAGAGAGAGACAGAGAAACCTGGACGTGCACACGTCAGCCCCCCCCCCCTGCGTTCCTCCAGGCTCCAAGAGCCCCTCCCACTACACGTCTTACACCAACTCTTGCGACAAATCTTACTGCGGATCCGACTGGAATCCGTAGTACAGCTTTCAATACAATTCCTATGTCAGCTGATGTTACAGCCAGTACTACACTCCCCACAGCTCCCACTACAACTCATACCACGCGTTGTACTACAATTACTACTGCGATCTCCACCACAACGATACCACACATCGCGTTACACATGCCATTTCAATCCGTGCTGTTCTGCTTTCACCAGAAACCGTACTACAGTTTCTAATGCAATTTATGTTGCGCATCCTTCTACACATCCCAGCGCAAATATTATTGCAATAGCCCGTGCAACCACACATATGTCCCGATCAAAATCCCCACTATAACCCCAACTACAACCAGACCGCAGAGCCCAACACAGCTCCCACTGCACTGGGTACTACAACCCCTAACGTAGTTCCTAGTGCAACCAGAGGAACAGCTCCCCCTACGACAACTTCCATATAAGGCCACATGACAGCTCCCTCTTCAGCCAGTAGTGCAGTCCCTCAAAGCTCCTCCTTCGACAGCTCTTACTACAGCTTCGACTATATGTGTGTGTGTGTATCCTACAGCAGCCCTTCATACACCCCCTACAACAGTTCCCACTGCAGCCACGAGTACAGCTCTCGCTGCAGCTCTTGATGCAGGCCCTGTTGCAGTTGATGGTGCACATCCCACCACATATCCGAGTGCAGCTCTTATTGTAATTCCAAGTGCAGCCATTAGTACAACTTTCTGCCATTTTCGGGATACAAATTGTACTACCACTCCAATTGCAAAGGGCCGTGCAGATCCCAATCTAATTCTCAAGTCACTTCTTATTACAGCTCCTATACTAGTTCCTACTGCAGCCCGTAGTACAGCTTTCGCTAGAGCCTCTACTACAACACATACATCATATCGCAACCCATTTCGTACTACCTTTGCTTGACACGGCCACTCGTACAACTCCAGTAACACCCTCTACTATGCAGCCAGTCGTGCAGCTCTCACTACAATCTTCTTACTGCTGCCACATTGAGGCTCATATAGCATATGCGTATGGTAGTTCCTACTACAGTTCTCACTCTAGCTTCGACTTCAACCCCATACAACAGCTCTTTTTACAGCTTTGACTACGGCCCCATACAACAGCCAACAGTGCAGCTCTCACTATAACTCTTGCTGCAACTCCTACTGCAATGTATGGCGCACTTGTGTGCCTAAACGCCACTGTTACTGCAATTCCGACTACAGCCAGTAGTACAGCCTTCTGTATTGCGTTATGCTAGACTTACTACTGAACTTCCACCTGCAACCAATAGTATTGAAATGAATACATTTCCCGAACATCACCTAATCCCACCAGCCCTTCAAGGCGTGAGTGGTTTAGCGATTCCTCTTCCATCACCCTTCTTCTCCCTGGGCCACCTGGATGGGGTTTCCCGCTGCAGATTGGAGCGTGCAAAGCCTCGGCAATTCATTGATTTTACTTAGGTTTTGGGCCCATTTCGGCCTCCTGGGGGGGGGGGGGCTAATTTCACCGCCGCCTTTGTGATCGAACTCCTCCAAAATTGCCCCAAGATGACCCCCGCCGCTCCCGCGAGCTCCCAAGAGGCCCCCAAGAGGCTCCCAGAGACCCCCGAGAGGCCTCCCACGAGGCTCCCCCGATGCACCCGAGACGCTCTAAGAAGCCCCCAAGACCGCCAAGCGGCATCCGGGCCGCTCCAAGAGGACTTGCAGAAACTTGAAGGGACCGACGTCGTGATTTTTCGAACCACATGTTTTTCTCTATTGTCGGCGTCCGGAACCCCTGGGCGGGCGCCGGGGCCGTCAAAAGTCGTCTCAGGCGGGAAGGTGTCGGGGCCTCTGGGGGCCGCCGGGGACCCGAATTGGAAACGCAAATATAATAGAAATATATCCCTGCGAGTGCACTTGCACCTGGTGCACGATGTATGATATGTGTAGTACATGCGCGTATCTGTTTCTTTGTGTTTGTAAGTAGGTGTATGTGTATACATATGTGCATAGGGTATATGTAGATGTGTATGTATGTGTGTATGTGTACATCTGTGTAAGTGAAGAGGGGCATCAGGGAGGCCCAGAGAGCTTCAGGGAGCCTCAGGGAGCCTCAGTGAGCCCCAGTGCGCCTCAGGGAGCTTCAGAGAGCCTCAGGGAGCCTCAGGGAACCTCAGAGAACCTCAGAGAGCCTCAGAAAGCTTCAGGGGGCCTCAGGGAGCCGCGGAGAGCCCCCGAGAGTCTCAGGGAGCCCCAGGGAGCCTCAGGGAGGCCCAGGGAGGCTCAGGGAGCCTCAGAGCGCTTTGCTCTTTTTGCTCTTTTTGCTCGCAAGGCCTAGGTGCCCCGCGCCCCCAGTACTCGGCCAAGCGCGCCTGCCTGTCCGCTTTCAAAGGATGATGGCATCGAAACCACCACTGGTAGACGTAGCTCCAGAGCTCCACGTTCAGGTTGCCCTCGCCGTCGCTCCCCCAGATTCCCTTCGGAATCCACTCCGTGATGCGAGGCCGCCGCTCATCGATCAGACCTGTGTTCACATCGAGTGTGCCATGCCCGCGCACACGCGTCTTCTCATTCTATATCCCCTTGGAACGTACACAGAATCGATGGGGTAGGCCATGCTCACGAGCCAGGCCAGCGTACAAACGAGCACCGTCAGAGACCAGCACCGACTTGTTCGCGACGTGGCCAAGGCCGCCCGACGCCAAGACGTCCTCGCGGCACTCGACCTGGGAGGAGGGAATCACTACAGGTCAGCTCCCTTGGCCCTCCACCCTCCCTGCCTTCGTCGCCCCCACTCCTCCTCCTCCTCCTCCTCCTCCTCCTCCTCCTCCTCCTTTTCCTTTTCCTTTTCCTTTTCCTCCTCCTCCTCCTCCTCTGTCCCGCCCCTCCCTCCTGTCACCCCCGCTCCTCCATCCGACGAAGGCAGGGGGGGGGGGAGGGCCAAGAGAGCTGGCCTGTCTTGTTTTACTCCTCACACTACCGGGCGCACGGCATTGGGCGCAACCTTTTTGACGGGCACGAAGTGCACCACTGTTCGCGGCACGGCCGAACAGCGGGACCGCTTCGCCAAACCCCGCAGTGCCACGTGGCAGTTCCCCCCCTTGTGCTTGGGGAGTTTCAGGCCAGTGCCGTCGCCCTCGACGACGCCCTTG